TTTTCGAATCTTTAACTTTGCTAGTGCCTTCATGAGTGATTTCGAGAGTGCACCATATGTCGAAAGTCGTTTCGCACATAGAAACACGAGTAAACTCAGTTTTATCTAAGGCGCAAAACAAGGCATTCATAGCCTTTGCATTTAGAGAAAAAGTCCTCTTCTCCAAATCATTACAATGGTTCATTAGAAGAGAAGACCTTTGAAAACCAAATTCGACTATATGCCATATATCAAGATTCAATGAAAGCAAGAAAACTCTCATTTGAGTTTTCCAATAAGTGTAGTTCATCCCATTGAAAAAGAGAGGACGAATGAGAGAATAACCCTCTGGAAAGCCGAAACGAGCCATTTCTCTTTGGGTGTTAAACCAAATGAGAAAAATGAGGCTCTGGTGCCAACTGTTAGGAAAAGAGTCGGCACTAAGAGGGGGGGTAAAATTAGTGCAGCGGTAAAATTACGTCGGTTCAAAAAACCTTCGTACGATAAAAACCGATTTCGATGAAAAATATTTCGGAGATAGGTTAATTTGAAAGTGTTTTCGTAAAGATAGCTTGAAAGCGTACGGAAGATGCGTAGTGGATGTAAAGCAAGTTAAGAGGTTTGCAGTAAAGTAAATTGATCAAATATAGAAATGCAAACCAGAGAAGAACACGTCGATTTTATAATGGTTCGGTCGTCGTGACCTGCATCCACTCCGTCGATTCCTCTTCTGTCGAGGCCACCGGCATCCACTATTGATCTTTCTTTAATAGGCGAAGATCAGCCTCCTTCTTACACCCCTCTTCTCCTTTTACCGGGTTTAAGAGACAACCCTTACAAGCATACACACTTCTCTCTAAACAGAATTCTAAGTTTAAGCTAGAGGAGGGATTTTTTAAATGATTTCTATAGCGTTTTCTCACTTTAAAACTCTTTGTGCTTGTGTATCTTAACTAGGGATGAGAGGGGTATTTATAGGCCTCAAGTTGATTCAAACTTGGAGCCTAAAAATATCTCATCTCGGGTTTCCTGGGTACGGGCGATACCACCGCCTATGCTGGGCGATACCACCGCCAGTGTCAACCTGACACTGACACTGCACTGGGCGGTATCACCGCCCAGTTTGGCGGTACCACCGCCTGACACTGAGAGGTACCATCGCCTGTAGCCTCTCGGAGACTATGTCTAGGCGATATCACCGCCCAGACTAGTGATACCACCGCCTGACACAGTCTCGGAGATTGTGCCACGACGGTGTCACCCCTTGGGGTACTGTTTAGGCCTTTTCATTGGGCCCAACACAATTCTTACATGGGCCTAACTAGCCCCTAATTTGTTTGGCTCAAAGCCAATCCCAATTACGTGCTAACTACGAAATCTAAGGCATACTTAAGCTAAACAAGCCCTAGATCTTGGTTTCTTCCGGCGAACTTCCGACGATCTCCCGGCAATGTTCCAACGGACTTTCGGCAAGCTCCTGGACTTCACGATGATCTTCTTGGCGAGTTCCGATGAGCTACTTCCGATAAGCTCCTGGACTTCTCGACTGGTTCCTACAGAACTTCTGACGAACGTCTGGTCTTCCGACGAACTCTCGAACTCCCAACGAAATCATGTCCTTGACTCCGGGACTTCATTTTGCTTTATGCCTTGCTATCGTAGTTAATCATGCACATGTAAAACACACGTCGATCTAGACAATTATTACTAAGCTTAAATCATGTTCTCCGGCATGTCATTGGTCCATCAATGTTTCGTCTGATTCTTTGGCGCATCATCCTCTCCTGCGGCCTATTGCCCAATCGGTCAGTTGACTCCGTAACTCCGATATCCTTGGCGCAATATCCGCTCTTCTTGACCCGATGCCTGAATCCATGGCCCGAAGCCTTCTATCGATACGTCGATCGATCCTCCGGCCCGATGTCCAATCTTCTAACATGTTCTCCTCCGGCCCAACATGATTCTTCGTGCTTTAATTATCTCATCCTGATCGAAGCATCCTACGTCACTAAAAACGCAGATCAAATTATAAATATTTATCAATTGATTTTATTATCAAAATACAAGATTCAACACTATTCCTATCACAATATAACTTTAAAAAATAATTTAGAATTATAAGACCAGTGCATTACATAGTAAAAAATGTGAAGTTGGAATTATAGAAAACATAAACAACAAATAGTACAGACAAAAACATCGACAAAACAAAACTAATATGTTTACTAATGCGAAAACTATATATAATTTACGTATTACTAACATCAATCTAATTAAATATATCCATAAGCATCATCATAACATGAATTTAGAAAATATTTTACAACAATACATACTGACAAAAGAATTACATAGATTCCTAATTGTCACAATATGGTTTTACAAAACAATTTGAAACTACAAAATCAGTGAATTATATAGATAATAATGTGAAGTTGTAAAAATAGTACAAATAAAATATTATAATAAAACAAAACATTGACGAAACAAAAATAAATGGTTTACAAAGTTGTGACAACAACGAAACAAATAGTGTATAACCAAAACATAAAGTGTCAGTGAATTATATAGTTAATAATGTGAAGTTGTAAAAATAGTATAAATAAAATATTATAATAAACAAAAACATTGACGAAACAAAAACAAATGGTTTACAAAGTTGTGACAACAACGAAACAAATAGTGTATAACCAAAACATAAAGTGTTAATAATATAAAGTTTCGTTGTCGATTAACGAAAACAAAAACAAATGGTTTACAAAGTTGTGACAACAACGAAACAAATAGTGTATAACCAAAACATAAAGTGTCAGTGAATTATATAGTTAATAATGTGAAGTTGTAAAAATAGTATAAATAAAATATTATAATAAACAAAAACATAAAGTGTTAATAATATAAAGTTTCGTTGTCGATTAACGAAAACATCAAATAACTAAAAATTAAATAGTCCCGGCGGGGCTCGAACCCGCGACCTTCGGCTCATAAGACCAACGCTCTAACCAACTGAGCTACGGGACTATACATTAATGATATCATTCTTTCTCTATAAGATGAGTGATACGTCATGTCTGTCACAAGATACAATTTGAGCAAAGAAATAAATATTTGATACAAATAAAATTTTAACAAAAATGTTTTGGTTATTTAATAAGATAAATTAAAAACAACTTGATAGAATCTATCTTAGTTCGTACTAAACTTTTAGACAACTTAGAGTAGTAATGTCACACATAGGAACAAGATGGACAGTATGCTAACTATATAAAATTGACAATGATATTCACTTGAATTTAGTGAAAATATCGAATAGAATCTATCTGAATTCGTACTAAACATTTAGACAACTTCCAATAGTCTAAATGTCACACATAGGAACAGATAGATTGCTATATAAAAACGATAATGACATTCACTTAAATACCCCACTTTTTGTAACATACATACATACAAATTATAAGTTTTTTAATTAATTTTATTATGGATAAAATTAGTTATTCATATCAGAAGCTAAAATAAACCATTCACATCAAGTTCAAATGTAAAATTATGTTTATGAACTATAATTTGTACCCATTAGTGGATATATTATAGATATATTATAACCCATTCAGTCATCCAAAACTATCTATCATGGAGCCCCAGCTCAACTACTTAGTAGTAATGCTTACCATAGGGAAATAACAAGAGTGTTAAGATGCTTAGAGGACATCATAAGTAGCGAAAGAAAGCAAGTGCATTAAGTTTGAATAAAGGAGATAAAGAAGTTAAGGGTTGATTACTTGGTGTCATTTTTTTTTTGCGGCTTTGCAGGTAGATTTCTCAAGAAAAACAGTCATAGATTGCTAACTCCAATTATTCGCTCGATCTATTTAGCTTTCAACCAGCAACTAGTAAATGTTGAAGGAATCTGGACACGTATCCATCATTTGATGTGTGCTAATGATTGATTCCAAAAATGAACCCTATAAACAATCGTTCATGATGTCATTATAACACAAATCAAAGCAAAAGATCGAGGCGACACAGCATAGACCATAAAACCTAAACCAGGAAACCAAACAAACCTGAGATCGAGGACAAAGAATATCTCGAAGCGGAGATCTTATTGAGGGCCACCGAGGCCTTCAAACGGGTGGATGATGATGATGGAAGAGGCGCGCGTCGATGATGGCGAGGTAGCGGAGGAGGAGGGATTCGGAGGAGAAAGGGCAGGACGTAAGAGCAGAAGGGCGCCCCGCGGCGCGAAGACGAAAGGTTTGGGTATAAAATAATTCTTAATACGCCTATTCATATTTATAGCTAAAGGGCGTGCTTGTCGTTATGTGAGCTCGAGTCGGGCCGATCCAGTTGTGTGTGCATGTAAATAAATAAATATATATATATATATATATAAGTTAAATTCAAATACATTCCTCTGACTGAATTAATGTTTTTTGTGATATCTCTTTAAACATAAGTTGTAGTTAATCTCCATTAGCTATGATAATTTAGGCTTTTACTATGTATCAGCATCCTTTAAGAACTAATTATAATATCAAAAACATTAAGATTTTGGTTTTTTATTTAATTATATTTTTTAACACAAATAAACTAATTTTGAACATAATTAGGAGTTGTAAACCTGAATTATATGAACATTAATGACAATAAAATAAGTGGAGAATTCTAATATTTGAAGGATAAGATTTACTATATCAAACTTTTATAATGATAAATATATTATTTTTAGAATTTATAAGAATAAATACGTTAGCACCTTACCTATTAGAGACTAAAAATAGCTCATATAATTGGATGGGATGAGAGATATGGAAAATTAAGAATGAAATATGACATTCCACAATATGATATGTTTTATATGCTAAAAGGCCAAACAAGATATCGGTGTGAGAAGTATTTGATTAAACAGAGCATGCCTTCAATATCTTTCACTCTTATGTTGTGACAATTCCAACAACAACACGACTGCTGGTTAAAGATTTGAGCAGCACTCACCAAGTTAAATAGCACAAGAAGCGTAGAAGAAAACTGTAAAAGCTTTTGATCAACCAGCATTCAGAAGTGAGAGGATAATTCACATCACATAACCAGTTTTTGCTTTATGACCATCCAAAGACGAAGTCGAGAACATAGACAAGAGCCAAGGAGAGTGGGTACAGCGAGAAGGCCACAAAACAAGTCCACAGCGGGAATGTCGTGCGGAAGCTGGTGAAGAGACCCATCACGACGCAGACGATCAAGATGACCAAGACCTCAGCCGAGAAGTCCCAGGTTAAGTGTCTCATGTAAACAAGAGCCAAGAAGACGGCCAAACAAAGAAGGTTGTTCATGGTCACCCCTCCATATATCTGCACAAGCAAATTTTAGGTCAGAATCCAATGTCATGAGAGGTTCCTGGTTTCTCAGTTCCACAACTGGACAAAGCTATGCTGTGGCTGGAGATATTATGTCTCACGAAATGAAATCCTGGCTTTGCGCCATGAGCAAGTTGAAGATGATACGATTTATTAGCATGAAGTTTTAGTTTATGATACTAAATTGTACAGCATGCAGTAGAAGAAATTTATAACATCTAAGATATCCTTACAAAATAACACTGCACAATTTTTATGGTAACTGAAAGAAAGAATGTTTGCATAAAGCCAAAATTGTGTTGAAGGGTTTCATATTTATGCAAACAGAAGGCAAAAACTAAGGGACAAAATCAAGACACATTTTGATAGTTTAGGTTTGTTGTCTTTAAGGTCAAGCAAAAGTTAAAATCTTCTCAAGTTGATCTTCTTATGTAAACAGCATGTTGCAACTTATACTGGAAATATGATGATAAACTGTCTAATTTATTAAAGAAAATAAATGTTATACAGGTTTCACATGCAAAAACTGCATCAGATATTTAACAAAAATAAATGTGTGCTGCTGCGCAGCAATTGAGTTGCTTGATAATAACATTCTGTTGATCTTTCAGTCAAAAAAACTTTTTAGTAAACATGATAAATGAATTCCATAATCTACAGGCACACCAGAATGTTCATAGTATATATTAAAATATGCAGAATATGTTTTGAAGCACTGAGATATATTCTGCATAGCAATAGCAGTTGAAATACCAAGCCTAAACCTGAATGCTATGAAATATAATTTATTCTTAGTTCGTATGAACTTTATGCAAGGGTCGATATGTAACCTGTGGCCATAAGAGTGTTCTCCTTCCTGCTTTCAATGGATTACTAATTGCTATCAGTAGAAAAATGAGTTCATTTCAGCCTCTATGTAAACTTAACACCTTTCTAGGGTTAACTAAACCGAGGATGGCTAAGAGAAGTGAATCATCATTCCTAAATAAAGCATCCAAGAAATGATATGTCTCACTTGGCTTAAATTTTGTAAGTTGGACATTTACTAAGTGAGATAGACTTGTTCTCCGAAACATAAAGAAAATGTAATCCATTCAAGTGGAGCAATTTTGCAGCTTAATTTTAAATGTCCAGACTTCAATTTTTTATGGTAAAAAGGAGCTTAGAAAATCTAATTCATGTCAAGGATCAAAAGTAGATTATAAATAACAGCACTAACAAAGTTGAAATGCTTAATGATCTGGACTGTTGCTATTGTTAACTTTATTCAGCATACACGCTCCCATGCTTTACGAAGTTATAATTAAGAGACGGTCAAGAAAGATAAAGTTTCTTTCGAAGAACAAACAAAGATAAAAGTCATAAATCTTCTGTATTGAATTTTATATTGGTTGGAATAAAATCTTGGGACACAAACCTCAGAGAAAGTTAGTGAAGAAGTTCTTTGCTTCTTTCGGGTCGCAAAAATGATCGACGAGACAGCCTCACTGGAGTTGGTAGCCAGAGGCATCGCAATGAATGAAATGAAAAAGGACGGTATACTTGTAGCAACTGAAAAATTGTCAACAGCATCTACAAGAGGATCAGCAAAAATAGCCGCAAGAACTGTTCCAAGTAGTAAAAGTAGGATAGCTTTTATGCAAATCCACATGGGATTATCAACGTTTTCAACAACTTCATCACTCTGATCGAGAAGCATATTATGTTCATCCCTTGTTTTCTGCATTATCAAAAGTCCACAATTATCCATCCAAATTACATAGATGTCAACCACAACACCTTTTGGCAGAAATGAAAGAAGCAACTTACCATGTGAAATTCATGCATGAATTTTTTTGAGTAGGCACCAGAATTTGCCACGGAACGTTTAGCCTCATCAATCCATTTTGTTAATCCCACAATAAACTCATCTTCTTCGATTGAAGAATTCTGAGACGTATCGAATTCAATCATTATTTTATCAACAGCATCATCCGTATCCAAATCTATTTCGTCAATTTGTATTCCTATGATAAGTGCTCTCAACTCAGCATGTGATAATGATCCATTTGAGTCCAAATCTAGCTTATGGAACAACCTGTGACCAACCAACAAATCAGATCAGGAAAATAATTAAAACCAGCAAGCACCTTACAGTATACTAAATGGAGAATGAATACTAACTTTTTCATAACATCTACGTTAGGTTTTCCATCATCAATGAGTCGTCCAAGTGCTTGCATCTGAGCATGTCTTAGAATTCCTGATATCACATGTTTGTGCTTTGCATAAGCCAATCTTCGCCTCTGAATCCAAGGTCGAAATACCTGGTCCATACACAAGTTGTTCAAAAGAGTTCACTACCTCTTCCAGTAGATGAAATTATAATAAAAACTATCAGTAACAAGATAGTAGCAAGACCTTAAGTTCCGTGGTTAATATGTAGAAGATAAATGTATGAAATATCTGACATATGAAATGAAATATAATAAATTAGACAATTTGACTAAGGCAACCTCATTAAGAAAGATTCAACTTCATTCTGAAGCAAATTTTGCCATATCTTCATGATAGTATCTATGTGGCTATCAATTAGGCTGGTGCCACTAATGTGAATTGAGACCTCTGTTGTAATAAGACATCAACCGTAAGGCATAAACATCAAGAGTAGTATTCAGTAACAACTCTAATGGTATGAATTTATAATCTCACTTTTCCATGATCAGTTTAATGAACTGAGAATTTAGTTACCCAAGCTAATAACCACCATTGAATCCTTTAATTATGTGATATAGAAGTAATTTCTAGAGGATTCCTCAAAAGCATGTTGTCCCTACTAACTGGGTGTGTTTTTCAGACTTTATGGCTTTTTGTATGTGCTTTTTCTGCGCTAGATCATGATTCATAATTCCAAACATAAGGCAAATGGTGAATATGATATTTATATTTAATAACGTATTACATTTGTATCAAAAGTTACCTGATAAAGACAGTAAGAAACCAAGAGCACAATTGCAACAATGAGAGAAAGCAGAACTGCTAGACTCTGTCCAGAAGGAAAATTGAAGATTCTTGGCAGTTGCACAATTATAAATGGGACAATAGAGATGGCCATAATTCTCGCAGCATAGCTTGTCTGAAGATCAGTTGAAACTCCAGACCCTTTAAACATATCACAAATAAAAAGTTCAGTACTTAAGCAGACGACAGTTGATTTTAAGCTACAATCTTGAAAAGTCAATGCATGTAAGAACCTTAAACTTGATCATTCAAAAATATGCAAGATTAACTTATTACAGATTTATAGCAACAGCTTATGGGGTGCTTAGCTGAAGAAAAATTGGGAAAAAAAACTATTAATACTAATTTAGCTTGATACAACATGTTGTCTAATCATACAGGAGGTTCCTTAGAACCTGACAATGGAATTCAAGCAGCTTACATCATTAATACTAAGGAGGTAGGTTGTGTGATGTGTTGGACATGCAAAAACTCATTTAGGTTGCAGAAAGGAATAACAGGGATCCAGGTCATAACAGGAAAAAGTAACTAAGCAGGTCACGGAATATAATGAATTGGGCAACAAGAAGTACTTGAAATTTGAAACACAAATGTTATCAGAATAGACCTGTAAGAAGGTTCAAACTTGAACCTTAAGCGAGGTTATTTTGCTGCTTAGTCCCACAACATAAATTAAAGCAAGTAACTTCCATATACAAACTCATGTTTGAGTTTCAGTGTAGGAACAGTGGGGAAAATTATGGTCCTTGCTGTACCATGCATGTGCATGGATGAAATAGCACAGTGGTCTTATTGTGAGCATGGATTGCCAAATATGCCCATACATTGCACAGGCTTAATTACATCCATAATTTTAAATTTCACAATTGCCTTTATATGTATTCTTCCTTGTCTGAATTCTATCTGTTGGCAGGATGGCCCAGATTGGCTAATGGCTGATAATGGTCTGGTTGACCTTGTTCATAGGTTAGATGGTTGATCCATACGAAGCCCAAGTGATGTAATTGCTCCAGATGGGTTACTCGGAAACCCCAATAAATAAACGAGCAGGTATGAAAAGCTAAAATCTTTGCTAGAAGATGAGAAAAGCAACAGCTGAATCAGAGAACAAAAGCCCAAAACTGCAGAATAAAACTGAGAAGGCACTTACCAAATAGGCTGAAGGCTTTTGTATCTTGTGAATCAATTGAAGTTGAATTATCTGAAAGGTCACATTTGCCAACGATAATACAAGAACCCCAGAGTACTGTCAGCAGCATCACAGTTGATCCAGCAAGTAGACCCATTCCAATTAGGACTTGATTTTGAGCAGTTTCTCTGCTCCCAGAAAGACCAGATACTACAAAAAAAAAGTTGTTTGTGGTTAGATGGAAACTTCAGCTAACTAATAGAAGTGCAGCAAAGGTGATTATTTCTGAAGTCTGGTCACCAATTCATGAAACGTCGATTAGATTAATTCCAGATGATAACTCAAATAAGCTACAACTCGATAAATAAATGGGAATACAATCATCTCTCTAATACAAGGAAAAATAAGACATCTCTTGTGACACGAGAGGAAAAAGAGAAGAAAGAAAAGAGAGGAAGAAAAAGAGAAAGAAGGGAATCTTTTTTCTCCTCAGTTTGATTCCTCCTTGGTTTTTGTGTTTGACTCTACAACTCTGTTCAAATTTCCACATTTTCCACACTCTTAATGACAAATGTCCTGTTCCCAACCCATAAGGTCTGGTTAACAACGACCTTCGCAAATGGTTCCATAGGAAATCATGGAAAGCAGCGTGAGAAAGTTCAAATCACGGCCAAACGTTGACACTAATCTGGCGTACTGCCCCTTTGCTGATACCAACTATGGTCAACCCATCCACGAAACAAGAATATAAATACCCAACCTTGCTTCTGCAACTCGAGAAAAAAACAAAAGAAAAAAATCCATCTACTTCCCATTGCTTCACAGCCTACCAAATGCAAGAAAGCAAAAAACTTACCAAATCAGATCAAAGTGATAAAATCCAAATGCAACACAATACAAATGCCAAAAAACAGGGAACATTTTTCCCGCATTGCTTCATGCACTACCAGCGGCAGAATCACAAATTTCACTAGATCTGATCGTAGCTGGTAAATTCCATCGTCACATAAAAAACAAGGTCACAAGGATCAGAGATTAAGAGAAAATAACGTATGTTCGATGGGGAAAGTGTGACTTGTACCAAGAATTAGCATGGCGTCGGGAAGAGCCCCAAGGATGGGGAGGAACAGTCCGCCGACGATCCCAGGGCCCATAATCTCCAGCAGGAGCTCGCTCCCCGAGGAGAGGTACGTCGCCGCCTTGTACATCAGGAACCCGTAGGCGATGACGAGGAACATGTTTCCGACCACGGTGGTGGTGCACGGGAGGAACCCGTACGTCTGCTCGCACTGCCCCGCAGCAAACACCCGCGAGCTCCGCGGCCACGGAAGGCGAGGGAGGAGGAGGGTTTGGGACTCCGAGGCGGGGCGGGAGGAGACCCCATCGGAGAGCAGCAGATCCGCGGACGCCTCGTCCGCCGGGGACGAGATGAAACGGCCGTGGGCGCCGCGACCGGCGAAGAGTAGGAGAGGGAGAAGGCAGAGGGAGACGAGGAGGAGGGGAGGAGGGAATGAGACCCTTCGCGCCATTGCAAGGCGAAGACTATGGGAAGGGGAGGAGGTATGGAGATCGAAACGGCGAGGAGGGGAGCGGTAAATTTATGGAGCGGAAGCAGTTTTGCGGGGAAGCCCCTCATATTAGTGGATATTGAATCGTTACACGCCCATATTAAGCCTTATTACGGTGTGATCGGCGTGAAAGGTGGAGATGTTAATGGCAAATACGTAATTAAGAAAGGAAAAATAATAATAATAATAATCATCATCATCATAATATGTGCTGAAAATAGAATTAATGATAAAAAAATTACTTTTTTCCTAAAACTGATTTAAAAATAATTTTGATTAAAGATTATCTGATTTATTATAAACTTGATCGCACAAAGCAAAATCTTTTCAATGAAACGGGTTAAATTCAATTCACGAGACTTCCATCGATCTTATTATTTGGTTTATATATTTTTAATGAATGAAGGGTTAATATATCTGATTCCAACCAACCTTTGAATCAAATTAAATTGACCGAAATGTAAAAACTTTCTATGGAAGGTTAACAAATCCAAGAATAATGCTCTAAAATGGACTCTAAATTCAATGCACAAAACTCCAAGATTAGAAGGGAGGCCAGAAGCTATTTTTATAATTTATAATGTAAAATAATAAATAAAAAAGATTCCATACAATTGAATTAGAAGTAGTAGAGAGGCTTATTCTATTAAAAAACAAAAATGATTCCTCGATGGAGTAAAAATAATAAAACATAGATGGGATGATTAATATAAGGAGAATGGATTCTCTAAAAAAAATCCATCTTTTTAGGTCTTTTCATCCTTTTTTTTTTAACCTAATAGTTGGAATACATACATTTTTCCTATAGATCATTCAATTATAATGTTTTCAGTATTTTCAACAATACAAGAAAATCATTATAATGTAGTAAAAAAAATACTATGTTTATAATATTTTTAGCAAAATTAAGAAAACACTATAATGCAATAAAAAGATATTATAACATAGTATTTTTATATTATCTATCTTATAGTGTGTTTTTTTTTTTGGTATTATTAAAAATATTATAACATAGATGATTTGATCGGTCAATAAAAAAAGAAATAGATTATTTCTTTTTTTTCAAAATGAGGTGCACTTGTAAAAAAAATAAAGCTCAAAAATAAATTTTTTTCAAGGATTATTCGTCCATTAATATATGTATATGATATTATTTTATATTTGATGCATAACTTTAAAATAATAATAAAAAAAAAAGACTTGGACTTAAATCGGACATAAAGAGGGACTAAAATGTAAGATAGAAAGTCCAACGGACTCGCCGCGGAGAAGACAGCGGAAGGAAATGGGCAGATGACGACCGGACTCCATCGCACCCGCCGCGGAACACACGGCGGGACGACGATGGGTCAGCCTGCAAGCGGCGGTTGGACGTCGGCACACGGCATCTGGTACACTGTCAGTTATCAGATTTAATCGTTATTATTATCAGATGAAAATGACATTTTCTTGTGATTATTATCAGATTTAATCGTTATTTTTCTACATGTTTTAGAGATTTTTATTTTCATAAGATATAAATAATTAAGATGAGATTGGATCGCAATACCCTTATTATCGAGGATTTTTATTTTTTATATTGACATCTCTGAGATTTGGGTGTGAGTATAGGAATGCTAAATCAAATTATATCTAATCTTTTAGAAAAATTTGTCATGAAAATGATATTAGATTCTAATGAATATGATATTTGAATGATATTATCGAGGGGATTAGTAATATTGATGATATTAGAAAATTTTAATATGAAATGATAACATATCAATATTTATGATATTAGTAATATTTATTACTAATATTAGAAAAAATTTATTACTTGTTTCTTTCATTTTAATATTTGCTTAGCATAGGAAGGAGTGCTAGAAATCTATATTTCTCAACAAATTATTATTTAATTAAAAAAATCATAAAATTAAGGCAATTAATTGAGTTTCCTATTTTGGGTACTCTCAATGGAATTTAGATTTTCCATAAATGGGTCTATTTTAATAAATAAAAAAAAAGAGAGAGGGGGAAATAATTGAACAAGTCAGGAATCTATGACTTTGGTTAGATCGTTGCTTTTAGACCGATTCGATCGCCGGCATCGTATAAATCTATACATAATTTATTTGACACGTTCTCCCCCTTCGAGAAACTTGGACTTTACGATTATAATTTTTATTTAATCTGTATCAGTAGGCGTTAAGGAGAGTGCTTTAACTAACTTCAATATAGATAAATCTTTGTCGCAAATACTAAGTTATAATTTATATTGTTTTTTTTATTGCTGTAAAATGAATATTTTCATAGCTATGAAATGAAATTTAAATAGTTGATATTTGGGGTTATCATTATCCGTTCCTAGAAAAGATATATATATATATATATATATATATATATATATAATTTTTTTCAAGTCCTTTTTTTGTAATGATCTTATAGTTTCCAAGCCAATAATAATACATGTTTGAAACCTGATGATGAATTAGTTTATGTTGGTTGTATTTTGAGTTGTCGTTCTTCATTTATATTTATTTATTTATTTATATATATATATATGTGATAAAATACTATAGTCAATGAGAATACTTGTTTGAAAACCCTACCAACAGGTTAATATGCATATAATGTTTGTAATATAACTTTATTTAAAAAAATATTATAAGTAGATTAATTCATCATCGAGCGAACCACTCCTTCGAATATCCTATCAAGAAGAGTATTTTGGGAATACAAGAAAAATATGAGCAGTGATGTAAAAAAAAACATCAACTGAAAAGAAAAGAAAGAGTCCAAAATGTGATGTTTTGTAATTTGATTAAAATATGTGTGAAAATACATAGAAACTCATAGAAACTAAAAAGAAATGCAGCATGAAGAGATTTTTCATATCAACTTGAACTTAGTTCTACTTTTCCTTGTTTTCTTTAACAACTATGTTAATGGGTTGAAGAATTGGAACCATATACGATCATATTAGCAAAATTTCAAAAAAATATTCTTATTTTTAGTATTTTTAAAATAAATATCTTTATTTTGATCTTTTTTAAACCATGCTCTTGATCTAGAAAATATCAAAACTATCATTCTCTACTTTCATTCTTCATCTATTGTTGTCCCTTGTCTATCCACCCGTCATCATTACTCTTGTCACCCATCATCTATCTATCTATCGTCATCACCTATCGTCTACTCGTCGTCAATCATCCACAAGGCAAGGGAGTGCAAGAACTATTGTCAACCTTCTGTCCTACTAAACATATTACCTGTAACCAAGCGGAAGACGTAAATAAACTCTTTACTTTATACAACCTAATTTAAAAAATATTTAATATTTTTAAAGTATTCTTTTGTAAATAAATATAAATATTTTTTTTCCTCTTCTTCCTTTTGTAAATATATTTTTTTTTTCTTTTTATAAATAAATTAAAAAAAATATTTATCCTCAAAAGGATAGTATCGAGTGGCATCGATAACGATAACGAGCAATGTCGACGATGAGCGATATCAATAGTAGCAACAACATGGAATGGAATGAGATGAAATATAGGGTCGGGAAAAAAAAATAATGAAATTAATAATATTATGATTATAAAAAAAAATATATTAATAATATTTAAAGGGTGATCAATATCAAAAGACTGTGAATAGGCAAAGGTGGCTGTGAAGAGTAGGCTTCTAGTAGAAAGAGTTCAAATGAGTGGAAGTGTATATCATTGTTATGGTCTAAGGTGGCTTTTACAACGCATGGTTGGGAAAGGACTTCACGTACCTTCTTCATGGGCAGTTAGGATATCATCATCATCCATATGTGTGATAGTGGGAATGTCTCCTATCGGGATAGCGAGTCCGACCAAAGGATATCGATGCTTGGTAAGAAATAACACGTGGCATTGGACAAGAAGTGCAGTTTGTGAGGTGAAGAATGACTCGTACGTGGCTGATGATAGGAAATATTTCTAATAGAGAAACAACATCGGATGGAAAGAATGACATAATCTATCTAATAACGTCGTCCATTTAGTATCAAGAAGCATAGCATCCGATCGAAAGAATGATACACAGTCGATCGGCTTACTATCTAAACAACCAGTCGAAAAAATGACATCTGATGCAACTTATTATCCTCGTAGTGTCAGAGTCGTCGAACGCAGTGGATGGCTTCCATCTGTGTCTGTGGAGGGTCACAACAAAAAATTGTTCATCCTTCCGAGAAGGAGGAGAGGGGGATGAAAATTAAAATAAATCAGATTCATTGTCAATCGAAAATTAACTCTTTTATTCAAGTTTTATTTTTATTATTATCTCTTTTATTCAAGTTTTATTTTTTAATCTCTTTATCATTAAAAAAAAAAAAACAACAACAACCTTCGGTACATCATCTCTCACCCATATGCTTTTCTTTTCCTCGTGAACATAGAAAAACAACATCATTGACGAAGAAGAACAACTCCACGTATGCTCACAACTAGATCGATCATATTGTGTTGCTCCACTTGATATGAAAAATAATAGGCACCTAAAATTTTGATCCATTCCAGCTTGCCCCGCCACATGTTGTTTGACATTCATTGTAGAGATGAGATGTGCCCGGCAATTTAGAAGATACTCCACAACTAGCATATTATCAATCAAACACTTGGGTATGCAGAGTCGGGTGGGTGGGAGGAGATCTTCTACTATGATACGCGATTGGCATACAACATGCGGAGCTTCCAATCTAAGTGTATACCATATAGGGTAGGGTAGAGATGTGCCGGCAATTTTGCGTCACATAGCAGCATATTCTAAAAAAATTGGCAAATCGTCAGTCAAACAGTTGGCGTGCAGCAACGAGATCCTCTTCTACTAGCATACGCTCATGGACCGTTCAACACACACACATTCACACATGTGGAGCTTCCTATGCATGCGTATATATATACGTATATAGCATAGAGATGTGCCGACAATTTAGGGTCAGATAGCAAGCAGGATATTCTGCAACTAGCAAATTATCAAACACTTGGTGGGCGGAGGTCGTCGACGGGGACACGCCCATGGAGAGAGTTTGAACACGTACACGTGGAACGTCAGTGTGTAGATAGAGGTAGGGCAGGAGGGCAGACATTACCCGTGACTTTTGTCTCCTTGTACAAAGTTGAAGAAGAAGATGGAAGGGTGGGCATCATCTTATCCAAACGCTGCTTCTTGTGCCCTCCTTATGCCATCGCCATAAAGTGGAGTTCGTCTTTATCGAAAGTTGATTGGCCCATCCTTTCCTTTTCTTTTCCTTTCCTTTCCTTTCCTTTCCTTCTTCTTTACTCATCAGCACATTTGGGAATTATTAACCAAAGTACCACATAGGCGCGCTGTACAACAGTGGAGAACTCATAGTTTGTCCCCACCATAGCGGAGACCTACCACACATTTGCATTACCACTTCAATTCTATTTCTCTTTTTTCTTTCATATATATATATATATATATATATATATATATATATATAATTCTATCTCTTTTTTTATTTATTCATGCTTATTATTTTCTAAAAAAAATCCTTCCTTTATCTCTATCTCATTTATGGTTGTCATCAATCAATCGTCTTAAACCTTCATTCGTCATTATTATTGGACACTCAATTTGTCTCCACCATCCGTCACACTCACATAGTCTCTTGAGAGGGTAATGAATGACATGATGCTCTTCTGTAATATGTGGAGATCTTATGATTAGATTTAGGATTAAGATTTATGATAAAATTAGGAGAGAAGGGTGAATATTAGCGTTTGGTTTCAAAGATAGATGAGGGGCATGATAACAATGACCAATGGGGGATGAAGGTGAAGATTGACGAGGAGGAAATCAAGGATAATCTTATATTTTAGAAAATAAGAACATTGTACCAAAAATAAACTAAAAAAAATGTTATATGAGAAAAAAAATAAAAATTTAAATTTTTTTAAAGATTTATCTAATTAAAATTATTATTTAACATCATTATTCTTTATTCTCCAAATAGTAAAAAAAAAAAGAAAAAAAAACGTGTATCACGCTCTCAACATCAAATGACGATTTGTTGTTATTGGTTGAGGGGAATCACTCGTCGGTCGGTACTTTCGTCTGCATGTCCTTGACAATTAAAACGAATATATCGTCTCATTCGTATAACATTCATCATCTTCTCAACAATATGGAACGTGACACATTATAATGCAAGTGACCGTGACATATATGAAACGAGAATATAATATCAATATTAATCGATGACCAGAATAAACACTGACTTCTTCTCAAAATAATATTATAGTCAAACCCTAAATCAAAACATAATTACAAATTAATCGTGATAGCCATCACATCCAATGTGATGGGCCTATTGGGCCTAATCCAATGAGCCCACACACTTGGGGTGGGAGTGAGGGAACCGACTTAAAAATCTGAATTAATGTGGATAGATAGATAGATTTCTTGCATATTGGTCTTATTTTAAGATATTAATATAAAATAGGTTTTCAAATTAGCTAAAATAATATTAAAAAAAGATTACAAAATTAATGTGCGTGTTAAATAAAACATGTTATAAAATTTCATACAATAATCAGTATTCTTTTTCTTTTTTGTTTGTTTCTTTTTCGTTTACTCATAATTTTTAGCATTCAGAGAGACTATCTGATTCATTCATTTGGAATATAAACCTTTTATTGGATATTGTAATCTGTATAAATCTTGTGCATTCATTCTTCTTTCTTTTGTCAGATAGATAGATAGATAGATAGATAGATAGATAGATAGATAATTATCAGAAAAAAAAAAAAAGTAAAAGGGATCGTCACAGCCAAAGGATAAATAATTACTAACTCCATGATGTTTTCTTCCATTTTGTAATCGAAAGTGTTAATGCCATAAAAGGGAAAATATTTTATTATTTGCTTAATGTCATTTAACCTACTTTTGGTAGCCCATGGTTAGTTAATCCATTTAATATCATAATCAATCAACGGTTACAAATTAGAATTGGTATTCCTAATTTACTAAAAATATTAAATAATAAATATTAATGATAAAAAAAAATAGTGATGTTGGTTCATAATTGAAACTGATGTGTGTCTGGAACGAGTCCTTTCATTTTCCATGTAATCGAAACTATCGATTCTATAATCATCATCATTAGGGGGGGCTAACATTGGGTCAAATTAATTTGACATAATGAGTACATTGAAAGCATTAAACGTTTTTTTTGTTCTTCTCTAAATCACTAATATTATTACTATTGAAATAGTGAGAAATTACCAAGATGGTGAAAGATGAATTGGATATGATATTTCTTTGTTAGAACGTCAAGTAATTTGAGTCATTGTGTAGAGAGGTGGTAAGACTTAATGGAAACTTCAAACCCTAAACTCTAAGAAGAAAGAAGAAGAAGAAGAAGAAGAAGAAGAAGAAGACTAATGGAGGAGGAAGAAAAACAACTTCCAACCCTAATGATGAGGTGAAGCAACCCAACCATATGGTTCCAACCATTAGAAAAGCTCTCTTCACATCTGTTTGATATATCTACTAAGGTGACGGATCTTCTCAATCACCTCAAGCTTGTATAAGTTTAGTTTGACTCGAGCAGTGACTCATTACATAGTGGAATTCAAGTCATCCAAATTCCAGTGTTTAAAGACCTGCTGAGGACAGATTCTTCTGATTCATGATGGCTGATGCAAACGGTCAAGGATGTCGTCTACTACTGCTACTACTAACTACTACCACATATACCCCCAGAGACGCTGATCTAAAGACTTGCACTTCCATGAGTTGCCAAGGTCATTAGATCAAACACAAGACGACCTGAAGCTGCAGCAGCAGCAGCAGCAGCAGATCTCACTGAAAGGAGGCCCGCCGGAATTTGCAGCTCGTGGTTCTCCTCGCCTCCGACGCAAAGAACACATCGGAGGTCCGGTGCTGCAGGCTCTTCCTCGCGATGTCCCGCATCGCACTGGCCAACGACAGCTGAGGGTTGAGCCTGCTGCGGTTGAATCCCTTGCAGAGGGCCATGTGAGCCCGCATAGCTTCTTCCATTGCCACAGCAGGACGCAGGCGCATCTCCTCCTTCACCGCCTCGGAGCAAAGGCCGCACACCCAGTGGCCGCAGAAGAAGGCCTTGATTCGCTCGATGTAGATGCGGGTGCAGTCCTGTGACATCCCGCAGCACTCGCACTTTACGCTCTCCACTTCATTGCTCCTCGTCTCCGCATCCATCATCAGCTTCTTCTCGCTCTCCGCCACCATGTCGGAGTATGACCTCCGTAGCTCTTGATCCTTCTGTTCCAACACCAAACCATAAGCATGCATGAAAGAACAACAGCTATTAACTTCTGCCCCATGATATTTAATAACCTTGGAAGAAGCCATGACGAGGTGGTGGTGTCGTTGCATGGTCTCTTAAGCTGCTGTTTGATTGATCGATGTGCTCAGACGTCGAAGAGAGCTACCAATTTATAGAGGAACTGTAAACATCACACCGGGATATACTTAGATTTGGTGATGGAGATAACTTGTCATTGAAAAGGAAAAGGAGAGAGGGGAAGAACACAAGTTGCAGTTGGAGAGTGTTCTTCTTTAAGGCCGAGAAAGGTTACAGTGAGATAACAGCTATCATCATTCTTTGAATCTTTACTCTTAAATGGCATCGAATTTTTGACCGGTGATTGGAGCTTGTGATCCATCACGAGCTACAAGCAAACCGTGGACATCTATCTATCTACCTATCTATCTATCTATCTATATATATATATATATATATATATATATATATATATATATATATATATATATATATATATATATATATATATATATATCTCGTGAATAGGAACGTAAGGTGGTCATTGCAAGAATATGGACAGTGACTTGAAGTAATGTGGATTTATTCTTATTAGATTACAGTTACTATCGAAAGATAGATAAATAGATAGATAGATAGATAGATTAAGTCTATGGTTTTTGCTCAGATATGTGAGGCTCAAAAAGAGATTGAAGACCTCTCTCTGAGACACCAAACGTGGCAACCTTTTTACGTTGCCGAGGCCTCATGAACACCATAAACAAATTAGAGTCAGGAAAAGTAAAAGCTGAAAGGATAACTGGTATAAGTGTTACACCAAAGCGAGAAACTTTGATTGCAATGATTATGACAAATGAGTGGCCACGCGAGCAGTGACCTTCTTGGTGAGCGTCATGCATACAAGGGGGGAGAGAGAGAGAGAGAGAGAGAGAGAGGTGGCAACAAGGGATCCGTGAAGAGATATAGAGGGGAATCGAAGGAGGGACCATTCGTGTATGCTATGGTCCCACTTGTGGAGTCCCATTCCAACATTTTTTCTCCTTCCAAGATGAAAAGAAGAAGCCGCCGACCTCGTGAGCTTCTCTTGGGGAAGTGGAATGGGT